AAGAACCTAACACAAAGTATGAACCTAACTCACTGTCGACGAGGTCATGGAGCAACACATAGGACCACTCGGATTCGCTGAGATCATGCAAGCTCTCTTGGTTTCTATTCCTTTGGTCTTTGATGCGCAAACCAGTCTTATATCCATATATTCCGTCGMTCAGCCCGATGCGAGGTTTGTAGCAACCCACAAGGAAGTGGAACGCTCGTCCTTGTGTGGATTGTCAACTGGAGAATGGGAGTGGATTGGCGGAAACGAAAGCACTATTGTTGCTGAGTGGAATCTCATATGTCAACACAAGTTTCTTGTTGCTCTTCCCTCCACCCTCTTCTTCATTGGCTCTCTCTTTGGTAAGATTAATCAACTTTTATAAAACTGATTTCTCATACATTACAAGAAATTCATGTTTGGTTTTGAAGGTGTGCAACCTCATAGAGCCTAATTTTTTCTAGTACCCCGAATTTTTCATGACAGAAATTTTCAATGTGACATAAATTTTTGTTGTTTATATGCATCTCTTCTTTCTAGTTTTCTATCTTGGAGAGGCCAATTCATCTCTTCTTTGTAACTGTTAGCACTTTTTTATAATCATTTTCTCTGATTTTTTTGTTGATTAATTAATATGATTATATAGCTAGGCTAATTTTAATAACATTGCAATGGATGAGAAACTATTAGTTCAATTTTGATAAGATCTTACATGATTCTCACGGGTGATTTTCTGACTTCAACAGGTTCCGGTGTCTATGGATACCATGCTGATTCATGGCTTGGTCGGAAAAAGACATTGTTTCTCTCGTGTATATTGGCCTTCGTCACGGCTTTTATGATCTCATTCTCTCCAAACATTTGGGTTTATGCGTTCTTGCGTTTCACAAACGGTGTTTTCAGGTCGGGAATTGGAACTTGTTGCGTTGTACTCGCGACCGAGGACCGAGGTCGTGGGTAAAAAATGGCGAGGACAAGCAGGGCAATACGGTTTCTTCTTCTTCGCATTAGGGTTTCTTTCTCTACCACTCATGGCTTACGTAGAGAAGAAATCATGGAGACTTTATCGACTAGTGTCGTATCTTCCTCTCGGCTATGCCATTCTTACGTTCCCTTTTATCGTCGAGTCTCCTCGCTGGCTTCTAGTCAAAGGACGCAACAAAGAAGCCATTGAGGTCTTGGAGAAACTCGCATGGCTCAACAGGAAAAAACTTCCAACGGATCTCAACCTCGTGAATCCCTTTTTCGCACGGGACGGTATAAGGGCGTCAGAGAATCTTTGGAAGACAAAATGGGCGGTTAAAAGAGTTGTAATGGTTTGATTGCTGGATTTGGTACTGGCTTTGTTTATTATGGGATTCAACTAAACGCGGAGAATCTCAGTTTCAACCTTTATATATCCGTTGCTATCAACGCACTCATGGAGATTCTCGCGGTCTTCATAGGAACATTTCTCCTAGGAACCATGAACCGCCTTCCACTCTTCTCGAGTTTGTCATTCATTGCCGGACTCCGTGCTTACTCTGCGGGATGTTCTCGCTTCGCCGCTTGTCAACCATCACTAAATGGATGCAGCTTGTGGTGGAGGCTGTAGGGTTTATGTCATCAGAGATGGCTTACAACGTTTTGTACATCTATTGCATCGAGTTGTTCCCTACAAACATGAGGAACTTTGCGGTTTCACTTTTACGTCAAGCTTTTGTGTTAGGTGCGGCTGTAGCGCCGTGGCTGGTCGCGTTGGGAAGAGAAAACCCGATAGTATCCTTTGCGGTGTTTGGCATTGTGTCGATGTTGAGCGGTGTGGCTAATCTTTGGCTAAAGGAAACTCGAAATGTTCCTTTGTATGAGACGCTCACGCAACAAAGGGAAGAAGAAGAATTGCTTAATTGAACAGAATGCGACTACAAATGGTTAAATTGATTACTACTCAATTACGTTGGGAATGTATTGTTAATGAATTATTTATTATGCCTAATAAATTTACAAGATGGTAAAACAAAACGCTAGTATAACATTATGAAACAAAAAAATTGGTTCTTGAACCCAAAAAAATCATGTGATAATAAATAGAGATTTTTGCAGAAAAGTCATACAAAACCACTTTCAATTACAGAAAAATTATAGTTTTGAAACTATCTACAAAAAAATCACAAATAGATAGTAAAAAGACAAAATTGACCTCAAAACATTTTT